CTGGCGGCGGCGGAGCACCCCCCGCGGCGGCGCCTGCCCCGCCGGCCACCAGAAGGAGCCCGACGAGAGGGACGCGCCCTCGTCCTCGTGGGGTGCTGGCTGGCAGGTTGTGACTACCTACCAGACCACCCCAACCCAACCCGAAGACCCGAATTTGATCCGAATTTCGGGTTGGGGGGGGGTACGGGTTCCATACGTGTTTTTTTAAGTGTTCCCCGACCCCCCCCCAACTGGAAATGGAGGTCAATTTGAGGCCTTCGGGTTGGGTTGGGGTGGTTTGGAGGGTGGTGAGGTTGGAGCGCGATCGATCAGCGCGCGAGCTGCCCCAGACACGATCGCGTCGGACAAAAATCAGGACGGGAGATCTGTTGCTATCTTCGGCTCCGGGGGGCGCCCTCGCCGGGCCTCGGGACCGTCAACAAAACGACTCAGGACGAAGAAGCGGTCCCAGGGAAAGGGTCGGGACTTCCAGGCCCGCCGTCTTGAAAAAGCCAAGACGTCGCAGGTCTGGGACACCACTGTCGCCTCTGCAGACGACGGGCAAGACCAGTCGGCATCGAATCGGGAAAGCGGACCAAATTGGAACGAGCGTCCGCTCGAGCCGAAGCCAAACGGGATCGAGTCGGTCGCCGCGATGCCGAAGCGGATCGCTCGGATCGAGACCCAGACATGATCGCGTCGGACAAAATCCGGACGGAAGGTTTTTGCCAGTCTTCGGCCCCGGAGGGCCCTCGCCGGGCCTCGGGACCGTCAAACAACGGCTCGGAACGAAGAACTGGTCCCGGGGGAAGGGTCGGGACTTCCAGGGCCGCCGCCCCGAAAACATCAGGACGTCTCCCGTCTGGGGTCGAAGCGGGTCGATGGGATCGATCGGTTTTTTTGGGGTTTTTTTTTTGTTGCAATCCAGGTTTTTTTTTTTTTGCAATTCTTCGAAGAGGAGCGGGGCGGAGGCAAGAGGGAGCAGGGGGGCGGGGGGTGGCCTCTCCCCGTCGCAGCGCCACGCCCCCGCACCCTCGGACCCCGCTCCTCGGGGAAGAGCGCGAGGGCGCGAGCTTTTTTGGAAGAGGGAGGGGATGTGAAGAGGCAGCTTCTGGGAGGTCTTCGCCGGAAGTCTTCGGGAGACTTGAGGCCCACTGGGGGGCGGCTGCGCGGGATTCGGCCGCGGATTAAGCGGGGTTCTGCTGGCTCAAGCGGGATTGAGCCGGATCGAACCGGATTTCGGACCAGGGCAACGGCAGAACTTGACCTCCCAGGAGTTGCATGCGAAGGGATAGGAGCGGAGTGCATGCTTCAACCGCCAGCGTCGTCTAAGTGCGAATGCCGCCACACACCTGAAGCTAAGTTGAAGCAAGTGCTGATGAGACCAAGTGGGCAAGGCACAGAGAAGACGCTTGCATCTGAAAGCTATGCTCTTCCTCAACGGGCACGTGAGTGAGTGGGCGAGTGAGACCCATCTCGATCCGATACCCCATGCCACCAGGCCGCCCCCAGGAGCTCCACGCCAGAAGCAACGAGGCAGAAGAGACCAGAGGCGGTGTGCAGTCGATGCGCAGACGAGGGAAGGGTGCGGCCGCAGGCGGCAGCAGGGGCAACGGCAGCGGCAGCAGCAAGGGTGTGGCGGCAGGCGGCGGCTGGCACGAGTCGATGCGCAGAGAGCGGACAAGCGCGTTCCACGACTCGCAAAGCAACTGCTCGCAAATAGCCTGGATCCGCCGGGGGGGATATACGACACATTACGCAGGAGGAAAAGATGTTCTGTGCTCGGACGTTTGCGAGCAGGCACTCTGCGCGTCGTGGAACCGCGCCCGGTGGTCGAGGGAAGCACGGGTGGCCCCGCCGCCCAGGCGTGCCCGCGCCGCTGAAGCCTCACGACGTGCTCACGATCTGCCCGGCCGCCGCAGGCCGCGCGGCCGGGGCAGCCGTCCCCAGAGAGAGAGAGCTCCTGCCGGTGCGCCGCGCCTGGCCAGAGAGGCCCCCCTCCAAGAACCGGCGGCGGCGGGGCCGCCCCCCTGGCCAGGGAGCGGGCCCCTCCTGATCCTGGCCAGGCTCCAGCGGCCCTTCTTCACCAAGAGAAGTGAGGAGGAGGAGGAGGAGGACGAGGAGGAGGGGGAGGAAGGGGAGGAGGAGGAGGAGGAGCAGGACCAGTGCAAACCTAAGAACCATCAGCGATGTTGGAATACACCCTCCCTCCAAGCTCCCTCTTCATAGGCCCCTACAGCGGTTCATTTCCATTGAGGAATCTGCTTCGTTGGAAGACAACCGTTTGAAGACCCGGAAGCATGCCAAAACATTCATCTCGGGATTCCAACGCCACGGATCAACCTGACTGTTGCGCCTTGCCGATCTTGGATCGTGCCAGAATGCCATTCGAATCCGTGAAGCTCTTGCAAGTTGCATGAACGAATGTGCGCGGCGCTTAGGCGAGAACCACATTTTGAAACGGAGCCGCCCTCACTCCGTGAAACTCTTGCAAATTCTTGGAACGAATGTGCTCGGCGCTTAGGCGAGAACCACATTCTGAAAACGGGCGATCATCAATCCGTGAAACTCTGGCATGTGTGCGCGGCGTTGAGGCGAGAACCACATTTTGAAAACGGGTGATCCTCCAATCCGTGAAGCTCTGGCATCTTTTAGAACGAATGTGCGCGGCGTAAAGACGAGAACCACATGTTGAAAACGGCTGATCCTCAATCCGAGGAGCTCTTGTACATTTGTAGAACGAATGTGCGCGGCGCTAAGGCGAGAGCCACATTTCAAAAACGACCCGCCTTTCATCTGTGAAACTGTTGCCAATTTTCCAGCTTCCTGTCATAAGTGGTGGGGAAGTTCTAGGCGAAACGCCCTGCCCGCTCGGGGTGTGACAGGGAGGAGTTGTTCATAAGGAGAAGGAATGGAGGAGGAGGAGGAGGAGGAGGAGGAGGAGGAGGAGGAGGAGGAGGAGGAGGAGGAGGAGGAGGAGGAGGAGGAGGAAGGAGACGAGGGGAGGAGGGGGAGGAGGAGGAGGAGGAGGAGGAGGAGGAGGAGGAGGAAGACGAGGGGGGGAGGGGGAGGACGAGGGGGAGGGTTAGGGCGCACTCCGTGGCAGGGTGCCTGGGGCTCGACAGTGGCTGCCTTGGCCGCACGCTGCACGAATGTAAAGCGAGCGCGGCGGCCAGACCAGCAGCCTTCTGCAATGGAAGAGGAGGAAGTTATTCATAAGGAGAAGGAATGGAGGAGGAGGAGGAGGAGGAGGAGGAGGAGGAGGAGGAGGAGGAGGAGGAGGAGGAGGAGGAGGAGGAGGAAGACGAGGGGAGGAGGGGGAGGACGAGGGGGAGGGTTAGGACACACTCTGGGGCAGGGTGCCTGGGGTTAGGTCGGGCGCGTCCTCCTACAGGAGGACTGTGGACGAATGATGAAACAAATTGTTAAACCCTGCTCAAACTTAGGCAAACATGATGGGAACATCGTCCCCGGAGTATGTTTGAACTACCCTTGGATATTCCTCCTGTAGAGGGACATGCCCGACTTAAGCCTAGGGGTCGATCAGTGGCTGTCTTAGTCGCACGCCGCACGAGTGCAAGTAGGTAGAAACATGGTGTAGGAATGAGGATGGAGTGCGTAGATTGGGTTCGGGCCCGCCCAGAGAGCATATCGTTTCTTGAAGTAGGAAGGCGCTTGAAGTAGATTGGGTTCTGGGAATCCAAAAATACCCATAAACGACCGGTGGGTACCACACATACTCACTGTAATTTCAACGACCGACGACGCTGCGAAACAGCTCGCGAGATGGCAGGTTTGGGCCCCTTTCGATCACCGGGGGGAGCATTCGAAGGCTGGGCCGCTCTCACTCTCGTGCTCTATCCGCTCGTCCCTCTGGGTCTCTCGTCTGGCCATCGCTCGGACGTCCATTCACTGTGTTTTTTCTGTTTCGTGCGTGGCTTTTTCGCCAAATGATCAAGGATGCTCCTCGATGGCCCTCGTCGAGAAAAATGCACACGTCCGAGCGATGCCAGGTCGTCATGGCACCCTTCGCCATCCGGCCCATCGTCTTGCTGCTTGGCTTCGCGTGCCTTGGTGGCCCCATCCACGCCTCGGCGGACGGGGCGCGATCTGCACCTCCGTAGAGTTAGGTCGGGCACAAAAAAAAAAGAAAAATATGTTGAAAGAAAAACAAAGAAAAACCAAGAATCTTGAACATCGTTCCCAGACTACTTTCTGGCTCTACCTGATGATTCTCTCCTGCAGAGGGACATTCGACATGCCCGACTCAAAATTTGCCCCGTCGGGGCCACCATGCAAGGCTCACATCGCAGTCCCCACGGTCTGCGCCGCTCCCATCCTGATGCGTCGCGACAGGCCCCCCCCCGTCGCGAGCTGTGCCCCATGGTTGGGCCTCGCACGCCCTGTGCAGGGAGCACTCCGGAGCTCGCCGCTGGCCCCCAGGATCGCGCGGGTGGGGCTGGGGAGGGGCCCACACGGGGGGTGAAGAAACGGGCCCAACAGGAGCCATGTTCTTCACCCCCCCTTTTGAGTCACCCCCCGTTACCACCCGCCCGACAGGACTGCTCGCATAGCGCCTGGCCACCCAGGAACAGTTCACCCCTGATGAGAGGGAGTGCTACATCAGAACATCCCCTTCCTCCCTCCCGCCAAGCATTCTTCGTCAACCTTCCTACCAAAGCCGCCTCCGCAACAATCCTCAACCCACTCCCCCCACTCCCCCCATCCCTCCTCCTTATTCTGCCCTCCTCTTACTGAACCCACTCCGCAACCTTGATCTTCATCGTTTCTCCTCAGACTCAGAAGGAGGAGGATCTGTATGGAGAAGCATAGGTGGCGGGGTAGGGGGGTGGGGATTGCGGTCGCATCAGTTCTCCACCGCTTGTCATGTGGGGAATGAGAGTGAGGATGAGGATGAGGATGACGAGGAGGAGGAAAGAAAGAAAGAGCACCGAGGGTGGGGGAGGACAGACTGCGCCCCACCCACATCCAGTCAGGCGCCAGGAAACGACCCTCCGCTCCCCAGGATGGATGCTTTTATTTCCGCTGCTGGCATTACAGTTACAGTCGCCACCCTGATAAGGACGCGCAAGGTCGATAATTCGAAACTTGGACATACAGATCGGAGACGTTGAACACATATTTAGATAACAATTGGTATGTTACGCCAGAAAAATTCAGCATTCGCGAGAACCTCCATCATTGTGGAGATGGTAGCGGCTCGGCAGCTCAGAAGGATCCTCTCAGAACCAAGCATAGTTCTGTCAGCGAGTCCAGGACAAGGCGGGATGGAGGAGGAGGAGGAAGAATAGGGGGCGGCGGCAGAGCAGGAGGAGGCGACGGAACAGTTCGCAGGCCCGGGGACGAGCCCCGAGGCCCTCGGCCGCGACCTCGAGGGCGCCGCCGGGGGGGGAGGAGGCTGGCTGGAGAGGAGCGGGGCCTCGACCTGGGGGGCGGAGGGGAAGGAGAAAGCAAACAGCACGAATCTCGGCCAGGCCTCGGGAGGCCGCGCTCGTGCATCGCAGCGTGATGCCCCCGCGGTCTTCTTGAGGGGCCGTGCCCCGGCCGGCCTCGGGGAAGCGGCCGCCAGTGCGGCGCCCTCCCGAGAGGCAGGGCCGGGAGGCCCACGGGGTGGGGGTCCCGCACGTTCGGCTGTGGTTTGATCCCCAGTGGTTCTGTGGAGCCCTTTCGTGGCCACGGCTGGGTGCCCCTCGGAATTCTAGCCAGAACGCACCTCAGGGGAGATTCGGGGGTCGGTCGTCGTCGTCGCCGACGCTGCTCGGCGGCAAGCGAGGGGGGGGGGAGTGAGAAGGAGAAGGCCTTCTCAGAAGAGCTTGCTCCAGACCACACCACGAGCACGCTCGTGCTGCCTCGGTGCCCTCGGGTGTGCTGCGGCTGGAGCGTCGGAGCCAAGCCAAGCACGAGCTTGCTCCAGACCATAACAGCGAGCACGCTCGTGCTGCCTCGATGCCCTCGGGCGCGCCGCGGCTGGAGCGTCGAGGCCACGCTGGACTTGCACAGTATTAAAAATCGCCGATGAAAAAACGTGCCGGTGGCAGTACAGGTCGGGGCGTTGGCACAAGGAACCCCTAAATAAGGAACGGGCCCCCTTGCTCCCATAAGTTGAACTTCGATCTCCCACGGGAAACCTCAGGGAAACAGGAGGCAAGCTGCAGCCCAATCAAGGAACACCGAGCCCCTCCCCAACGAAAAGGGTTCCTTCTTCAGGGCCCTGACTGCGGCAGCGTGGCTCTCGAATTCTTCAGGCAGGCTTTGCAAAGAAGGCCTGCGCGAGCGGCCGCGCGCGCGCGAGCGCGGGCGCCTCGGGCTCTCTGTGAAGCCCTCGGGTCAGACCAGCATCCCAGGGGAAGCGTCATCCCTGCTCGGTCCCTGCCGCCGCCGACGCCGCCGCCGCCGCCGTCATCGTCGTCGTCGTCGTCGTGGTCGTGGTCGTGGTCGTGGTCGTCTTCGTCGTCGTCGTCGTCGTCGTCGTCGTCGTCATCCCTCTTCGCTGACCAAAACGGCGGGAGCGCTGGCTCTGGAGCGGCGGGCACGGCGCCGCCCCGAAGTCCACCTGGACTAGAAGCCTTGCTCCTCCTCCTCCTCCTGATCTTTCTGCTCCGGCAGTCCAGCCAGGGGCTCTGACGCGTCGGTCTTGAAGTCGAGCCGCCGCATCATGCTCATGATCTTCCTGGGGCAAATGTCTTCGCGCTTCGCACGCAGCGAGGCGCGATTAGCTTCGCGCGCTCGCACGGAACAGGATGAGGGAACCGCGCCTCGCTCTGAAATCGCGCAGACCGCGAACCGCGACTAACTTCGCACCCTCGTGGTGGCCCTCGTTCCTGTTCTGGCTCACGAGCAAGATCAGCTCGGACGGCTTCTCGTCGCATAACGAACGCATGAGTCCATCCACAAACTCGTCGATACTGATCGAGCCGGCGCAGTCCAGGTCGAGCAGATGAAATATACTCTCCAGCTGCTCCATTTGAACTATGCGCTGGATCTGCTCCTTGAGTTCTGGCGGGCTTGCTTTGAGTTCTGCCAGACTAACCAGCCCGTCGCCGTTCAGATCTAAGCCTTTGAATAAAGCATGCAACTTGGGTATCATCTCCCTCTTCTTCAAATCCATCCATGCGTTCTTGGCCTGTTGATCTTCCTTGGCGATCCGCAAGGACGACTCTACCATGATGGCAGTCCGCCGACCCCGCTTGCTGGGGATGGGGAGGCGAGTGAGATGTTTGGCTGCAGCGGCTACCCCCTTTCCCTGTCCCCCTCCATTGGGATCCAACGCCCCTTTTGAGGGGAGGGAGCTCCTCAGCACACCCGCCGAGCCCTCAGACCTTCCGAACTGCGTAGCCCTCCGGGGCCTTCAATACTGGTCCAAGGTGGCCGCGTGAAAGGCCTCCGACGGGCAGAGTTAGCCTTGGAATGCCCCCCCCAAACTGAAGGGGCCCCAGGACACACAAATAAATACACACAAATAAACACATTCCCCACATTTCCCAATATTTTCTGGGTTTCTGTCCTCCCCCCCACTTCCCATGTTCTCCCATATTCTCTGGGAGTCGACGAATAATTGTGTCCGTGTGTTTTTTTCCCCTCCTGGCGAACATGCAGATATGTTCATGTATGTACAGATGCATACGTGATGAAGAAGCTGCGATGGCTCCAACCGGCCACTTGAGGTCTCAAGGCGGCCCCGCGGCGGGCTCCCGAAATCCCAAGATGCTGCATGTGTCCATTGATGCTCTTTTGACGGGGCCCTGGGACACACAAACAAATACACACAAATCAAAGGATTCCCCATATTCGTCCATACTTGTTGGACTCTTTCGTCTCCCCCCCCCCACTTCCCATGTGTTCCCATCTTTTCCTGGGGATCGACGATCCAATTGTGTCTGTGTGTTTTTTTTATCCCTCCTGATCCATCATCATGCTCTTGGCACTCCCTGCTTTTCGGCCCAGGATGTCCACAGAGTGGGCTGCTGCAGGCCTCCCACGAGGCCGCGGGAGGCCTCCGGAAAGCCTCCCCGACGGCCCGGGGTGCCCACGCAGTGGCCCCGGGACGGCCTCGACGGCTGCCGGCTGGCCTCCGCGATGGCCTCCGAGCGTCTCCAGGACGGCCCAGAAGCGGCCCCGACACTGCCCCGAGGCTCCCCCGACGAGGCACCTGGAGCCCCTCAGGACGGCGGCCCCTAAACCCCAGCGGGGAGGCCAGGCCACAAGAAGCCCCGCGAGAGCCCCACGAGGGCCCCTACAGGATCGGGAATCGGCCGGGGTCCATCCATTGGGGGTCGGCGGGCTGGCGCAAGCTCTAGCATGACAATGTTCAAGAGTGCGACTGGGCCCACCAAGAAGAACGCCAGAAAGTACAAAGCCAGCAGAGGGCTCCTGGAGACGAGGGGTTTGTAAATTGCAGCTGCGCCGTCGACGAACATGAACTGCCAGAGGGTCAACATAGAGCTCCAAAGCGAGCTGAACTTGCTCGAGGCCATCACGTAATCCTCGTCTTCAAAGGCACCTGCAATAATGAATTCCATGCCGAAGATCGCGAACACGTAGACGACCACAATCATGACGCCAGCAGTCCACAACATGGGAGTTATTGAATACAGAAGACAGTGGACGAGCAGCCACAGCGTGCGGAAATGTACGACAAGACGTGCAACTCGACAAAGACGGATAAGCCTAAACAACTTCATCATGTTGATTTTGCCCACAATGTCATTCGCAGCCTCGCCAGACACAGACGTCACGGTGAGAACCGAGTTCGCAAGTCCTGCTACCACCAGGAAGATATCCAGCTTCACCCAGTGGCTTCTCGTGGACGCCCTCACGCCGAACGCAGCAAACCGCAGGCAGATCTCCGCGACGTAGATGGCCAGGAACGCGTACTCGCACACGCTGAACAGGGGCGGAGCGTCCTGCCCCTGGGCCGAGGCAGACGCCTCCGCCCCTATCGTGAGCGCGTTCGCGACGATGACTGCCCCCATCAGCGTCTCGAAGTAAGCCCACGAGACCACACCGTGGGCCCTGGCACTCAGGCCGAACGCTGCCTGCGGGGCGCCGGGCAGGGAGATGCCGAGGTCACCCCGTGCCTCTGCGACCCTCTGCTTCTCGAACCAGTCCGCGGCCCTCTTCAGCGCGTCCACCTCGTCCATCCTCACCTTGTGGACGGCGCGGAAATCGTCCTCCAGGCTCGTCGGGGGGTACTGCCTCACCATCGCCAGCGCATCGGGAACCGAGGAGTCACAGCTCGACATCCTGTTCCACACCGGGTCCACGTCCACGACAGGCAGCCGCACGGCCCTCGCCGCGAGCGGCGAACGTGTCCGTTCCCGCACCCTCGCAGTCTGGATTCCTGGGCGCGGTCCCGCGGATGAACGGCCGCACGGGGACGCTCTGCGCGGGGCATCCGCCCAGCGGCCCGGCCCATGAGCCGCGGAGACGGAGCCGCCCAGAGGACCCCGAGGTCAGAAAGCGCAACAGAGATGCGACATCGCAACAAGTCGCGACCGGAGCACTGGACCCCACCCCTCCGCGGCACTCTTCGAGCCGGATCGATCCGCGAGGCTCCCGGGGCCCGAAGCCCGACGGCCCGAAACCAGCTCCAGAGACGCCCGGATCTCAGGGGTCGCCGGCCTGCGAGGCCGCGGCCCCGGACGTGTTCTTCGCCCACGGCCTCGGGCCCGCCGTGCTGCCCTCGCTCTGGAAGGACGCGAGCCCCGCGAAGCCGATGCCGGGCGGGGGCGGGGCCTCGGCCTCCCGCGGGCCCGCCGCGGCGCTCTCGCCGCAGGGGCCCTCGGGCACGCCGCGGGCGGCCTCGAGCTGCCGCCGCATGCGCTGGAGCTCCCGCTGGTAGTGCGGCCTGGATCGTGGGGGAGGAGGGAGGAGGGGGAGGAGGGGGAGGAGGGGGAGGAGGGGAGGAGGGGAGGAGGAGGAGGAGGAGGCGAGGAGGAGGAGGAGGAGGAGGAGGAGGAGGGGGAGGAGGAGGAGGAGGAGGAGGAGGAGGAGGGGGAGGAGGAGGAGGAGGAGGAGGAGGAGGAGGAGGAGGAGGAGGAGGAGGGAGGAGAGAGGAGGAGGAGGAGGAGGAGGAGGAGGAGGAGGAGGAGGAGGAGGAGGTCCGCATCCGCGGCCCTGAGATCCTGGCGTCTCGTTCTACATCCTCACGTTCCGATCCGGCCAAGGAGCGGCTGCAGCAAGAGAGGGGGTGTGTTGGGCTCTGGTCGTGTGTCTTGCTTCGATGTTGCGTTTTTTTGCAACGTTGGCCTCCAGGGTCCGCCGGGCGATTCCGTATCCGCGGCCTTGCGGGCCGGGCGCCTGGGCCGCAACCCCGCAGATGCCACGCGCCACGTTTGGCCACGCGCCACGTTTGGCGGTGCCACAAAACCCTGGACCCCAAAACCTCGCAATTTCCTGGAGGCCCAACATCTACCTCCGCTTCCCACGGCGCTGCGCCCAAGAACCCCCGGTCAGGAGGCTCCACTGTGGGGCCTGGACCAAAACCCACCGAACATCGGCGCATGCGCAGTAGGAGGAGGAGGCCGAGGAGGCGGAGGAGGCGGAGGAGGAGGAGGAGGAGGAGGAGGAGGAGGAGGAGGAGGAGGAGGAGGACGAGGAGGGCGAGGAGGGGGAGGAGGAGGAGGAAAAGGAGGAGGAGGAGGAGGAGGAGGAACTGCACCACGGCTCCGCGCTCGCGCGCCCCCGCCTCCGCGGAGGCGGCGCTGCGAGACAGCGGCCCGCCGCTCCCCCCTCTTCGGGGGTCGCGGTGGCCCCTCTCCTTCCCAAAGCGCAAAAACACGCGGGGGCGCAGGAAACCGCAACAGAGGGTACGAAGGTACGAGGCGAGGCGGGCGCGTCCGAGGACGAACGCGCGGCGGCCAAGGTGGGGGCCAGCAGGTCCCAATCAGACAAGGATGAGGTACTTGTCAATATCGAAGAGGTCGAAATACCCCAAGACCGCAACAGAGGGCGGGGCGGGGTTGGAGGGCGACGCGTCGAGACAGGGCGGGCAGCGGCGGCAGCGCGGATCCATCCCCTTCTCCGCGTACTCTGGCTGCGCGTGCCAGCGGACCAGGGCAGGAACGACATCTACCTCGAAAGAAAAGTGCGGCAGCAGGGTCACCAAGGAGCATCCCACTGTCAGGTTCTTGCCGGCAGACACCCGGAGTTTGCCAGCACCGTGCGCTGGCGCTTGAAAACTCCGTTGGTTGTCGATGTGGGTGGTCTTGGATTCGTTCTGAGCATCGGCCGAGCTTTGGCCGTCTTGGGCGTGGATGCGCTTTGACGTCGCGGCTCGAGCGTTTCATTACCTTCTTCTTCTCTTGCGTCTTGCAGCCCTTCTCGCTCTTGAGCGCCAGCTGCTGTATCTGCTTGGCCGCGTCCAAGTAGGATGTTCACCGACTTTAAGCCTCCTTCCATCCTCATCACCGTCAGCGCCCGCTTGAGCTCGTGATGGATGTTGGCGGCACATGTCCATCTCCCTTGGCTCGCCCCCTCCTCGTGCAATTTCACTTGAATCGCCGTGTTGTTTTCGCCATTGCGCCTGCATTGCCTGCGATCGGGCCCCACCTTCCGATCGCCGCGACTGCCTCCGCGGCATCCTTTGTGCAGGGGCCCTGCGTGATCTCCTGCGCCGACTGCTCTTTGTCGTTGGTGGCCGCCTCCGCCATCCGAAACCTGATCATCCTGCAGAGGGCGTCTTGCTCATTCCCCATCGGGTATCCCCGAAAGTCCTCGCTCTCGCTGGCCGCCTTGTCATGCTGCGCGCAGCTCTGGTGCCCGTCCTCCAGCGCGATCTCCAGCCGAGCCCTTTCCCATGAGCTTCCTATCTGCGCTAATTAGTTTCCCATCGCTAATTAGCGCAGATACGTAGATGAATATATACTAATTAGCGCTGTCAACCCTAATTAGCGAGTAGCCAGCTCTAAACAAATTAATGGGTGCAAGCTAATTGGCAAATATGCGCGCTAATCATAGCTTGTTGAATTAGCGAGTAGCACGCGTTAATTAGCGCGCGTGGTTTAGTGCGGACGACGCCGCTTTCGACCACTGGCGCGCCTTTTTTTCGCCGTTTTCACCATGGGCGCGGTGCCGAAGCCCGCGCTGTTTATCCATGCCCATAGATATAATCCCCACCAGGGCACGCATGCAAGAAGACAAGGCCAGCACAGGGAGAGAGAGAGAGAGAGAGAGAGAGAGAGAGAGAGAGAGAGAGAGAGAGAGAGAGAGAGAGAGAGAGAGAGAGAGAGAAAAAGATAAGCGAGGACATATAAATAAAGAGCAGGACAACCAAGAGAGAGAGGCAGAGAGCTAGGGGGGATCATTCGCAGCCGCCTTCACAGGCGACTCTTTTTTTGTGCGCGTGCGTGTGCGTGTGCGTGTGTGTGTGCGTGTGTGTGTGTGCGTGTGTGTGTGTTTTCGCAGCAGCGCTATCGCACGCGAACCAAAGGCTCCATGCGGAACCTGTCCATAACATTGGCATAGAAGGCCTTCGTGGTCATCGGGGCGCCACGCGTCCGTGAGATCCTGCCGATGGTCCCTCCAAAATCTTCGTCGCGGTAAGTCCAATTAGCTTTCGGGTCAGATTCCTGGGTGAGGTGCACGAAAAGATGGAGTTTGGGATTGCACCTGAAGAATGCAGGGTGTCGCTGCGCGAGTGCATCGTACAGGGGCAAGAAGCGTTTGCGGTTCGTCGCCGTGGTGTCCCTCCTGGAAAAAATAGCATAACATAACAATTGTCCGCAAGGCCTCGTAGCAATTATGGAGGTGGTTCGTCGCTGCGAGAATTGTTTGCTCCAGATCGCTGCCACCGCTGAACAGTCTGTTGAATTCCTCCCACGCCCAACCCTCCAGAGCCCTGCGCGCGCCCGCCATGCCCTTTAGTTTCGGGGCGTTCCTGCGGCTTGCCTTTTTGAGCATCAAGAGCGTCAGCTTGTGGGGCCTGTCGCCCGTCGTGTTCCTGTCGTAATAGGCTTGGATTGACGACCGCATATTGTTGAGGCGTTCGGCCCGATTCCCGCCGCCATAGCATTTATTGTCACTTAGAAGGAACCACATCACTGATCCGAACCAATCCAAAGCAACGCCCTGGTCCACACGACGCAACCAATCCACTCGAAACAAGGAAAGGTCATCCACGCAGGGTGCCGACAACAACGGCGACGGCGCGCATCCGTTGCGCATGTTCCGAAGGATAAGTTCAGATTTGGGCAGCTGCGTCCTCCGCCATGGCGCGCCCTCCCGCGCGTCGCCAACCTGGGGGGGAGGGAACAAATTCACGTAATCAGCCGCCTTCCGCGGCGCCCCGTCCACCAACCCGTTCCCCCGCCCCGAGGGGCAGAGAAACGGGCTGGGAGGGCGCGGGCGGAAGAAAGGAAGCAATTCACGGTCAAACCGCGGGGCGCGGCGCCTGATCGGGCGCGCGCGCGCCGCCAGCAGCGGCCGCCCCCCTCGTTCCACGCAGGGGGCCCGAACGTGCATTTGTAGCTCGCCCAATCTCCTCCGACACCCACCAGAACACCCCGGGAGCCCAACGGTTTGTTGGGGCGACGCTTGCGGTGCGAATCTGTCGCTTGCCAAGCGGCGCCATCGTGCCGACGCGACGGAAAGGCACCGCGTGCCATTGCCGAAGCGACCACCGCACGATCTCCATGCAGTCGTTGCACGCGTTTGAACTCATGCGGGATTTGGGAAAAGCTGCCACAGGAACCCGCAAAGCCGAGTTGTCACCGCTCAGCCTTGGAAGGTTTACTTGAACGAGTTCGACTGAATCGCTCCTGTCGAAACTGTCGGGCACGCCATCAGTCCAGAGACCTACGGGCAAAAGGGTCGGCGCGCCCATCGCCGCCTGGCATCGCAACATATGCGTTTTCGCCTCGACGCCCAAACCTTCCGTATCAAAGAATTTCGTCTCATCCGAATACGAACATATGACTGAAAACATTTCGCGCGGCAGCAAAAACACATATCTGAACGCGCTTCTCTGTTCTGTTTCGGGTTCCACGTTCTCACCTTGGCCATGTATGTCGGAGGCCACTTGCGCGCCTTCAGGAAATTCCTCTTCAAATCTCTGGCGATGTTCCTGCCTTCGCCGCGTCGCACCGCGGCGGTGGTGAAATCGCCGAACCGACCAGGAAGCAATTGGCCAAGCGGTGCCAAGAAACTATGCCCGAGCCCCCGTGCTGACTGCCTGTTTTCGAGAAATGAATCCCTGATGGCGCCGCGCAGGCGCTTCGACGGGGAACCGTCGTCCTGCCTCGCCCACGATTGGCGCTTCTTCCCCTTGGGCATGGGCTCACCCCAAAGCGGCGTGGAAAAGGAAGAGGCCTGAGCAGACGGCTACGGATCAGAATAACCAGCGAGCGACGGCCGGATTGCCCGTCCATCTTGGTCTTGTCGACGCGGCCAGCGCCGCGCATCCCGCCCCTCTCCGCCTATGCCAATGTCACGCTATGCCTTCTCCATCGTCTCCCCGCCCTCCTCAATCCCCCACTTCTCCTCCTCCTTCTCCTCCTCCTCCTCCTCCTCTTCCTCCTGCCCCGGTGCATCCTCTTCCTCCTCCTCCTCTTCCTACCTCCTCCTCCTCCAACTCGTCCTCCGTCCTTCCCCCCCCCCTCCCCTCCTCCTCCTCCTCCTCGTCCTCCTCCTCGTCCTCCTCCTTCTCCTCCCCCATCTCCCTTTCCTCCTCCTCCTCCCCCTTCCTCCTCCTCCTCCTCGTCTTCCTCCTTTTCTTCCCTCCTCCCCCCCCCCCTTCCCCCGCCCCCCCCCCCCCTCGCCCCTTCCTCCTCCCATCGTCGCGATTCTGTTCTCGGGGGCGCCGCCTCCTATACAGGGGTCGTTTTTTTTGCAGGTCGGCGGGGGGTCTTT